CTGATGTTCTCTATCCAACGGTGAAAACTGCAGCTCTCTATGACTTTCCCTTCAAAAGTTATAAGAACTCTGCCCAAGCGACTTCTTTTCAGAAATGGATAATAGTTAAATTCGACAACTTGTATTAGTTGTTGGAACATTTTCAGCTAGATCCTTATTAGCCAATTTGTTCTAAAATTCATCAATAAATTTTAAGCTTTATTGTCATTAATGACATACTTCCCAAATAAATAAATGACTAAATATTGACTAAAAGAATGTTATTTTAACTTGTTACGTGCATTATATATTCCGATTTTTTCTTACTATTAGTAACTTTTTAGCATAGTTTTTTCCAAATTAGAACAAAAGTGGAAACTTGCATTACATATCACAAATAATGGAGAAACTGCATTGAATTTTATTTTAATCAAACGAGAGAAAATGTGAGACAAAGAAAAGGATCATGAAGCCATAAAATTGGCTAGATCTCGAAATGGAATCGATATTAGTAAAATACACTTCAATTATCCTTCACATCGAAGGATTATCTATCGAAAAACTTTGAAATTCTACATTCATCAGTTTTAATATCAAACGGTTTTCTTTAAAAATTTCTTGATAAAAGCATATAATAAGAGTGAATTGGGATGGACTCGAGCATATGTTCCGAATACACTAATAAGAAATTTTAATTTTAATCAGATAATTTGATTTATAATCGATTTGAGTAGTAGTGGTTGTAAAACGTATGTTTTTGAAAACTCTTTCGGATTCCACAACTCAACAGATAGTAGATACCTTTGACACATATCTCACTTCGATATACGATATCATTTAATGCTTAGTTATGTACAGAAGTGCCAACAAAATGGATAAAAATCTGTTTTTTTAGTTTGGGGAAACAGATTTCGTTCGGTTTTAATTGGCTCTCAATAAAAAAAAAAAGAAAAGTCGATTGAATTTAAACTTTTCTCCTTTTCTTGTAAATGAGAAGAGCGTCGCCAAAGATTAATCCTTACTATCGAAAATTGACTATCTATTCTGGTGTCACAACGGTAGCTAAGTAGAAATGTGTAGCCCTTTTTTTCCTTTCGACAATGCCGTAGTCGATTGACTATCACCGCTAGTCATTGGTATCCTTCGATTACTTAAACAAGCGAACCGTGTCATCTAACAGAAACAGGAAAATAACAATATTTTTTCATATTCTTATACGCCATTTGATATTTAAATCAAATAAAAAGAGGTGAAGAAGGAAGAGCAAAAAAAGATTCCTATAAACACCACATAGCATGAGACTGTGAGGTGATAGATGAAATAGAGTTTTGAGACAGCCGTGCGGAGCTGAAGTGAAATATAACTGCTTAATTCGAACGATGATCGACACTTGACACTTGCATTAACTATATGGAAAATAAGAAACTCAATTTTGTGAAAGACCTAATATCATCGTTTCGTGTTTCGCCACCTTTTTTTATGTTACTCATGGAAAAAAGTTCTAGTCACTGTTGTCGTTCATTATTATTAAATGTTATTTATATGAAGAGAAATTCATTATCACAGGTTGATACGCGATATCACAGACAATAAAAACTGAAGATAACAGCACGATAATATCAAGATCAAAATAATTAAAAATAACTTTCGTAAGTTTGTAATAGGTTTACCAATATCGATTTTTCTTATTATGGATGCAATTTCAATGCTAACCCTAGCAGTCAAAATTAAGTAAAAAACGCGTTATAACGAACGTTATTTTATTTTTTTTTAACGCATTTTTTCTTTCAACAAATGTTCGAATTTTGGCGTTTTAACAGTTGAATTATTTTTCACTTTGAACTCGTTATAGTGAGTGAAAACACAAGCGTTGAAACACGTTTTCAAAGTGAACGTGTTTAAACACATTGAAAATTTACGTTTTCATGGATTAATAAATGAGTATGTGAGTGCTATAAAACACAGGAAAATTTTTCAATATTGAATACTAGTTATTTTTTTTATTAGAAGATTTCTATGTGTAGTCTGACAGTTATGAGAAAGAAAAAAGGATTTTAGATCTGCATATATATCTAAATACAATTCATATTTTTTAACAGAATTTGCATATGTTATTTTCATTTCCTGTATATGTACTTTGTTTAAGAAGTCGGCTGTACTTAGACATATATGTATATGTAACAATCATTTTTTTCTGATAACTGTGAGAGTATACATAGAAATCTCCTAATAAAAAATAACTAGTATTCAATATTGAAAAAAATTTCAATGTATTTTATAGCACTCATATACTCAATTATTCACCGATTACTTTCTATAGCTGCTCCTAGTGGATTTATTTTTTAATGGATTTCATGTGCTACTAATCTATCACCATATGATAGCAAATGGAAAGAGGATCTAAAATACAAATAATCGTAATAGCGTAACTAGGGGTAACGAACGTTAAACTTAAAATTGCTTAAAATTATTTCATTTAGTTATATTGCTATTACTTTACACGATGAATAGAGCGATGAAAAAAACTATCTATATCCTAAAAATGATAGGTAAAGTTTGAAAACTATAAAAAGATGTTATTCTGTTCACTTTTTAAAAACTTTATTTCTAAATCACTTATCAAAAATTCTGTAAGCATGCATTATAAGATCGCAATCATTCATTCTTATAGGCTTCTCATCTATATATTGTGAAGACTATTCTATAACTACTCAATAATTTTATTTAATCTGCTCATTGCTCTAAAAAATTCTATATTTAATTCAAACAAAAATATTCTATATACATGAAGCAAGAGTTTTATGGTCTCTTGATCTATACAAAAGCTTGTGACTTAAGTGTGTGCGACGAAAACTTTATTAAGACCCAGTGAAAAATATTTTCAATGTGTTCAATACTTTAAACTTTATTCCTAGGCAAAACATAAAAATTCTATTGTCATGCAGTAAAAGAAATTTTTATTCTAATTATTTATACAAAAATTTCTATTTTTAATTATCTTAATAATATTCTAACGTAAATTACCCTTGTCAAAAATGTTCTAAGCAACTGATCATTATGATTACTATACAAATACATATGATACAAATGTTTCCAACTTACTTTGTTAGTGTATTACGAGAGAGACACAAAGGAATAAAGAGAAAGAAACAAAGAACGATATTACGACGAATGAAATTAACGCACAGAAGCATTAGATTACTATTGGCTAATGAAATCTACTTAGATAATCAACTAGGGAAAAGTGAATGGTCAAAAGAAAAAAAAACAATCGAAATATTTATTATTTTTAGAATTTTTTCTTTACGAATTAACTATTCTTTATGTTTTCTGTTGCTTCTCTTGTATATTTAATTCAATGAAAATGGATTATAAGATAAAGATAAAAGCTTACCTGCTATCGACTAAAATATATCATCACATTAATAGAATTAAACATACTTGACTGTTTAAATGCATTTATTGTACATCGAACATCATCTTTTTGTTATATAAATCATCAAACTTTTTCCGGCCGTTTTTTCAAGGATTCAAGTCGAGTTATTTGTTTCTTTTCATTTTCTTACCTTGGATAATTTAACACATCTTTGTACTATTTTCCATAGAAAAACGTATATAAATATGCTAGCGAGGACAATATTTTTAATAGTATCGCAAAGTTCATCGACAGCAACATACATACGTACATCTTTTTTGCACAAACTTATTGTATGGAACTTATCATGAAACAACATAAGTTACTAATTTACAATCTATTATGCAAAAACTTGTTTTTCAACATGGAACTGATATTAAATTTGTTCTTGTTCATAAATCTTTTTGTTTTTTTTCAGTACTCTAATCGAAATGGAAGCAGTTAGCCATAATAAATAGAGAGATGTTTTCTTTATCTTTAGTGTACTTTGAATAGAATGTTGTATTAATCAGTATTAACAAGCATATTCTTTTCAATTAATTTTTTTCTATGCCAATTCATTAAAATGTATGGTATATCTGTGTTAAAACGCATTAACTTCTGTAATTTCTTTGCATACAGACGTTAAAACATGTTCATTACTCTAATATCTTCGTTAAACGGGAAATAACCGTTTTCACGCATTTATTTCTTGCATTTATTTAGTAAACGAGTTTTATAGCGTTGTTATCTTCAATTCTCATCGTCAATGCATCAAAACGGTGTTTTTGCCATTTATTTGTCTGCATGGAAATTCTCTTGGATTATGACTTCGATGTTTATCTGTCCATTATAGAATATTGTAAAAACACTAAGACAAAATCAAAATATCACCAAAATCTATGAAGCATCCGTTATAATAAACAAATTCGTTTTTTGAAAATTCTATGCATTATAAACAGTGCCACTTGAATTATATTTTTAAAATAAAATATATTCATCACTCATTTAAACAAAGATTCTCTTATAAAATTTATAGATCAATTCTTGTTGACTGAAATTTACAAAAATTGATTATCGTTCGAAATTGATATTTTGATTCCGTTTATTAATTCAAACATGAAGTTGTGTATACAAGAAGCAAGTGAATATATTAAGCATATCTATGTTAAATATTACATCATAATTTGATGAATTTTAACATCATATTACAAGATAAAATAGAGTTTGGCAAAAGAAAATATTTTCAGACAAGTCTTTTACAAAGAAATTGAAATCTTTTCTATCAAAAAACATTGATCAAAATAAAACTAAAACATCAAATCAGTTTTCATTAATGAACGTGTATGAAGAGAAAATAAAGCAACAAGACAAATATATAACATATAATGAAAATAAGATAGAAAACAATATACATTTTACACTTGTTTCATAGTCATATAATCTTCATATGATAGACGAATGAATAGTCTGAAAAAAAAATTATATACATTTTTTATACGATAAAGATTTAATTTCATAGTAGAGATGGGAGCTAAGCACTTTGTATCGTTTTGTTGCTGCTAATGCCACACGTTAAATAAGCCGTGTAACTTCATGTCTACCAACAGTTGAAAGAGTATTACATGAGAAGTCGGCTTTCACAGTCCTGAATACAACCGGATGCAGTGCTGAAAGTTTTGAATCCTACGAATTCGACTCATATATTTTCCAGACTTCATAAATTTATTGTTTCAAACATTTCTAAAATCTTGTAACAATGCTTAAATATTTAATTACCTTATTTTTTTTAGAAGTGTTGAAAAAAAAAGTAAACTAGAATTAATAAGAAGAAAGAACGAATAGTAATAGTAGACTCATAAATATATTCTATAAAATCACTTTATTTACTTTCATATAGTAAATGGTAAATGTCGTTGTATTGTAGCTCGATAAGCGATGAGAGATTTACGAAGTTCTTGTCTGTAAAATTTTGATGGTAATATAAATACAACGAATGTAACCATATGTGGAATAAATGAAATAAAATATCCAAGAAGAAATAACCAAGCATCATTTGTAGATTTCATACATTTTGATACAAATGAAATCATTACACGTGGTAATGCAAGAATAACTAATACAACAGGAGCAGTAAATAAATGTTTATGTTGTCGTATTTGTTCTTGTAAATGTACTGTATAAGTTCGACGATTTTGAAGATTTGATTGTTGACGAGATTTTTTTGTTATAAGAATTACCGCTGATATAAGATTAATAACGAATGGAACAGTAAAATGAAAAGTATGTACAATAGAATTGAATATTTGTAATTTAGATGTATAAGTAGTAATACACCATAGTCGTTTACTTTCTTCATTTTCTTCATCAATTAAACGTCGATAGAAAGGATCATAAATTGCTGTACTAATGGTAAAAATTAAAAGAATAACAATAACTATTTTAGCTATTTGTTTACTTTTCTTCTTATGAAAATGAGTAGCTTTTATTATTGTCATTGCACGTTCCATAGCAATACAAGCATTTAACCATTGATCCATAGTAATACAAACTCGTAGAAGAAAATCGAGAGATATACATTGAATTTGTAAAAATAATTGATTCGATATATGTGCCATTTGTGCAAAAATAAGTGTCCAAAATTTCAATCCAAATATAATCGTTGTAAGTAAAGTAGTAATTGATGAACCGAGTAAATACAAACCACAACCAACTTCACATATAGTTTTATTCTTGAATGTAATAAAAGATAATATTCCATTAATCAATCCTGCTATTATAAAGATTATAGTCAATGCTAAACTAGTTTTGACAATTTTAGGCTGATGTTTAAGACTAATATATGGTTGAATATGATAGCCTAAGATACCATCAAGTGATAAACCAAATCCACTTGAACTAAATTGACATCGTGTTCCATAAAAGCATGTTGGACATATACACATTGATCTTTGTGGACAATCTGGAGTGTCTTGAAAACATTGACCTTCATTTTCACAAACACTTTGACCAAGACAATCAAATTTCATATTATGTTTAAAATCAAAACAATTTGCTAATCGTTTTTGTTCATAATTATAACATAGACAAATATGAGTATCATCATAAAAACAAGAAAGATTTAATGAATATTTTTGACATGGTAAATGATAATATTTAATACGACGAAGAAGATGCATTTGAATAAAAGTTTGATTAAATAATTCATTTATATGTTGACAACGATCCGATGGATTTATCATTTTAAGAATTGTTGTTGATCGCTCATAAGTTTTTTGAATAAGAGCTAAATAATAAACTTTATTAAAAAGTTCAATAAAAACAAGATGAAATGGTCTAGACCAATGAATTATTAGTGAATGTTGTATAAAAGAAATTGTTCGGAAAGTAGTTGTTCTTATTGGTGTACCATTATTAATAACTTCTATGAAATGAATAAATATTGATTGAGATAAAACAACATCGTGCTGAAATGATAGAATTATTTTGTTATCAACTATTTCACATCGATCACCAGTATAACCTTTTGGACATATACATATAAATTTTCGATTCGATATCATATATTCATCAGCAGGAATACATTGACCACCATGTTGACATGAGAAATTCCTCTCATTTTGACAAATTCGATCGACAAGAAGACATTGATAACCAAATTTATTAATAGGACAAATACATACAGATTGATTGTAAGCAGAAACACCAATACATATTGAATCACTTGTACACATGGAATTATGTGGCATAGTACAATATCTACCAGACCATCCTCGATTGCATTGACAAAAACTAGTAGAATTTGATGGATTATTTGAATATATAATACATTTACCATGAATACATTGAGAATTTATACAACTTTGAATGTTTTCATTATATCGTGGAATATCAGCTATATATGCTAGACGATAAATAGGTAAAAATGGATATACTATTGGAAATAATAAACTTCCACGATAAGTTAATGAAATTTTTTCATAGATATCAATATGTATTGCATAATTTTTTGTTTGATTCTTTGGTCGAGTTGAATAAAGTAAATAAATATTAAATTTAATTTTACAATCTCTTAATGATAAATAAGTGAATTGTTCATATGAATGAATAATTCTTTCTTCACTATCATCGATAAGTGAAATAATTATTGCAAATAATGTTGACCATGAATCTGATAAGGCTCGAAATTTCATAGTTAAACTTACACGTTGATTTTGATATTGACAAATATCACCATAAAAACTAGGTGGACAAAGACATGTATTTGTTGTTAAGTTCTTTTCATTATTTAACCATACACGTAAATCAATACCACGATGACAACGAGATTTATATTGATGAGATATTTCAATCATAGATGAACTTGAAAATACAAGTTTTGTCACATTGTTTGTTTGATTTTCTACGAATTTATTTATTCGATCGAATGAAAAATATTTAATTTGTTGTTTTCTCTTCTCTTTTGTTTCATGACATAAAAACTGCTCAACATCAGAACGTAAAGATAAATGGGATGAATGACAAATACCACGATTTATACTAATATTTGTACGATTTTTTATACAAAATTTTTCATCATCTCCATGAGGACAACGTCTATGATTATCACATAGACTTTTAGTATCAATACATAGTACACGGCTTTGATTCATACAATAAAAATTACTGTAAAAGGTTTCTTTATAGTTTGCTTGACATAATAATGGCTCATCAGTAGCACCAAGACAATCAATTTTACCATCGTTTGCTTTTGTAACAGGTAGACACATGAGTTGATTCGTATGAGGTGAAACACATTTATGATGATTTGAAGAACAATTGAATGTTGAAGATAAATCACAACCAATTTCATCTTCTCCATTAAGACAATTCCATAAACCATCACAACGAGTATAAATATTATTACATGGCCATTGTTCACATTCTGTTTCATCTGTTTCATTTTTTTCTTTAATGTTTATTGGAATTAATTCAGTAAATCCATCACAAATAGTTTGAAATGATATATTCTTTCTAATATAGTGAATCTGAAAATCTTCATCTTCATATTCTTTAGAATTGTGAAGTTTACAGTCGCAAACTCCATCTTTAACAAGCGATTGATGAATGTACTTGTTAGTTATTTCACATTTGAAATAGCTTTTTAAAATGTGCGTTAAACCAGCTTTATTGATTTGCGTAATATTTTCGTCATCACTTTGGGGACAATCTAATGTACTATCCATAAGACGATTTATTGCGATACATTTAGACGAATTAATACACTTGTACACATTCGGTCTATTACAAATAGCAGAAGTATAGTTAGAAATTAAATTGAATCTCTTCAGTTCTCTGTACAACTGAAACAGTGGTACGTGATATTTTAGATCCCAAGTGCCTGACAACATCAGTAGAGACTGTACAGAACGAGGACGGAAACAAGTTCCATTATGGAATATAACTTTTGAATGACCAATAAAAAATTCATCATAATGAGAATTGTTATAGCACAAATAAGGTGTTCCAATACCTCCATAGGCCAAATATAATGAATCATTTTTTGTATGAGCAAGATAAATTTGACCAAAAAGAAGTGGAACATTCGGAATGTAAAACATATCTGGACATGTTTTGTCAATAATCTCTATACATTCTGTTTTTTCACAAATATTGTGACAAAATGACTCTTCTGAACCTGGTACATTTATAATGCATTTAAAAGCTGACCAACATTGTTCAACTATTGAATTGTCTCTAGTCGAATAGATTGCCTTCAATAGTAGATTTTTGCGTTGTTGTACACAAGAATTTGTTAAAAATGTATATCTACATGTTCTTTCTTCACATCCAAATGATGGTAGAATTGTATTACATTTGTTACGCTCTTGAAAAGATATTTGAACTTCATCTGAGCCATCCACACAATCAGGATTGTTAACATCATCTCGGTAAAATGATTGTGGTATACATTGTCCATTGTTGCATCGATATTCATTATCATTACATTCATTTATTTCAAGTTGCCAACAATGTTCTTCATCAAATTTGCCATCGAGACAATCAAACTGTCCATTACAAACTTCACTCCAATCTAAACATGCTGGAAAAGGACCACGATTACATTGTAAATGAGTATAACATGTAAAATTAATTGGATTATATTCATATATACGATAATAATCATGAATAATTTCATATAAAGATGAATGATTTTGATGATAAGAAATAATTTCATATTGACACATAGAACCAAATCTTGGTAATGTACAATTATAGAAAATTTTTATTGCAAGAGATGTATCATTTATTGTTGATAATTGATTTAAATAGAATTGATAACGTTCAATAACATCTATTGATGCTGACCATATATATAACTGTTGACTAGTAATATTCAATTTCGAAAGTTCAGCAAAAGTATACTTTGGAAACATATCATTCTTCTCAATATAAAATTTCGATGGTAATTCATTCATACAATAAGATATAATTTCACGACTAACATTTGTTTTATCAATAGAAGCAACAATACGTAAACAATCGTGTTGTAATATATTATGACTTTCATTTTCACTTATCCAATCTGTATAATGAAGATTGATTTGAGGTGTAGCAACAATGAAATTGAATAGATATTTCATAGAAAACATTATCTACTGAGAATACAATAAAAAATGAATACATTAATGATTATTTATAGAGTTAAGAAATAGTTTATCATTTTTTTCTCTTTTTATAAAAGTCATTTGGTATTGTTGACTTCATTTACAATACTTCATAGTATTGTAGAGCAAAAATGTTTGTTCCTGCTTGATAGACACAATCCCTAGTTGCTAAAAAAATCTAAATAATTATAGCAGTTAATGGTTCTTCTTTATTATAAGTTATAATGAATTTATCTGCTGCAAATTTGACTGAAATCTATTTTATACTTGATACATCTATTGATAGATTAAATAAAAATGTTGCAATGAAAAGTTTTCGCATAAGTTATGTATAATGATGAAAAATAAACGGTTTCTAATGAATTTCATCTAGTAATAAAACATAAATAAAATGAGTATTATTGATATCGATTCTATACAACAGTAATAGGTGAATAAAAGTGCAAAAAACAGTGATATCTGTCTTTTTTTTTCTAAGCGAAGAGTTTGATGGAAGAAAGCTATTATTAGTCTAAAATAATATTTCTTTGATGATAAATTTAGAATGCGGGAAACAAAGTAATCTTTGTTTATCAATATTGAGTGTCTACTCTACTGTTTGATAACCAGATGTGTAAGTCGATGTATTAGTAGGTGCTGACGGCTGAAAATGATCTGAATGCTTTTTTGGCTTCGCGATATTTTGAAATGAAATTGGTATTGGTAAAGTACGGTTCAAGCTACTCAATCGAAGTAATATTTGGTTCTTTCACAAAGAAGTTTTGAAGGCAACGGCTTGGTATGAAGTCTCATAATTGGAAAACTTGAGGATCTATCAATTAGTAATTGCTTTAAGGTAAATTGGGTTTGATGATTGACAGAAAACAAGACAATCGATGTAAAAAAGAAACTGAGAGAAAAACAAATTTTGATTTTAATCAAATTATCAGATTTATAAGTGGCTTGAATGACGATGGTCCTAAGATGTATTTCTCTCGAATTTCAATGTAGAAACACAAATTTTTAAATATTTTTTTTCACTCCACAGCTCAACAAATAATAGGTACAAAACTAAATCAGCCTAGGACACACATGTCACACTACAACATACGATATCATTTGATAGTTAGTTATTTGAAATAAATGCCGGCAAAATGAGTTAAAGTCAATTTATTTTTTTGACCTGATTAAAATCTGATCTGCAGTTTGAAAGACAGATTTTATTTGATGTTAATCGCTGTTTTTCAAGAAAAAAGTTGATTGGTATTAGACTTTTTTGTTCTTTTTTTGTTGTTGTATGATAAGAGCATCGATGAAGATTGATCGTAAACATTAAAATGTTTCAGAGTCGAATATTTAGTTTTGTTGGACAGCTGCAGATAAAATCAATGATGATTTTTCTTCTGTGCATATAGTTTCAACCGAGCAAATAAAACTCTGAAGTTAAAAAAAAACACTGAGCACAACTACTTATCACCGTCTGTCATATTATTTATGAATCGCTTAAATGAATGCATAAAATAGTGCTTTAAAAAAAAGAATTTTTTTCATAAAGAAAACCAGAAAAATTATCATAATTCCTTTCTGAAAGGCTAGAGAGCATTCAGAAGTGAGGTCCACTTATAAAGCGGCTTCTTTGATCTTCGTCTTTCTTCTTCGTTGAGCGTCTGGTGTTAAAAAAATTTTGAATAGTTTAGTTGTTCAACTATACCTAAGCAGGCAAGAATTTCTGATAAATTATTTTTCAGCAAACACCAAAATCAGCTACTTTCATCAAAAGAGTGCATGACAATGCTTAAAAAGATAGCTTTTGCATCCTGACAACATAAAAAAGAATGAAATGTAAAACACACTTTTCATGAGCACAAACTAAATCAAGTAGAATTTCTTCCAAGATTTATAGTTTTTTAACAGTCCTTTTTTAATGAGTTGTACTATTTATTTTCATAATTTTTTCTTATCTCGTAGTATCTATTGGTAAAAGGAATGATTACTAAAGTTTCTGACCTAATATACTAAGTCACTTCTGCGTAAATAAATAGGTCATGGTGCATTTCATATCAGATCACTTGTGTTGAAATTCTAATAGTCATACGAAAGACGTTTCCGATATTACAGATAGTATACTTGCATTGATCTACAAAAGTCACAGATATTATGTCTAAAGAACGCTTAAAAATTCACATGTACGATATCAAGATGGCTTTCAAAAAATTACAAATATCATGAATGAATTGCATCGCAGCCGTATTTCTATGGCTCACACGTTTGTTCATTTCTTGAGCCAATATTCTCTCTATGGCTTTGTATACACTACACAAATGAAAACTCAATTAAGCAAACAAACTGATTTTTTTTTCTACCTGGCAACACCAATCAAATTACTAAATTTAGTTTTAATTCATGCGTGTAGTGTGTAGCAAAGCGCCTACATTGCGTTATAAATCTGTCAAGACAAGCAAAAAAAGTCTTATAGATGTCAGTAGTAATCTGTTCTTCTGACGATCACCTTTTTGCTGGTCAATGATATAACTACTGCACATTTAATGGCGTTATGTTTGTATGCTTTAAATTTTAACACCTGATGGTGAATTTGTACACGTCAATCTGCCCTTTCAAATAGAAACGATGACAACAATAATGAATCTATTCGGTTCAATAATACCAAATTTAAATACAACATTTCTAATTGATACAAGTGGTTCAATGTATTCATGTTTATCCACTGTTCGTGAACATCTTTCAGCATATTTACGTGTTCATGCTGTTGATGTACCAAATCCACATCAAACAATACTATTTAATTTAATAGAATTCAATTCTGATGTACGTCGATGGGCTGATCGATGTGTTTTTTGGTCACATGCATCAGTAGTTGTTGCTGATGATTGGCTTCGTTCTTTAGTACCTAAAACCGGTACAAATACTTTAGGCGGATTACTAACCGCTTTTGCTGATTCATTATGTCAACAAGTTGTACTTATTACTGATGGTATACCTGATCAAGAACCCAAAGTTATTTTACATTTTCTTCAACAAAAACAACAAGAAAAACGTCCATGTCATATATTTTATATCAATACACCATTAAATACTGAACATGAACAAGAAACTGTTGTTAAATTTCTACAAGATTTAGCTGCGTTAACATATGGTTCATTAACAATAGCACATTTTTCACGTACAGGCACATTAGAAAGTCTTGCTCCTATGATTAATTATCAAATAGAAAATACAACTAAACCAGTATTACTTGCTGATGCATCATTACCAGTAACAATTGGAGGACCACCAATGGAAACAACTGTTTCATCTGAAGTTGGTGCACTTTTAATTGGACAAGAATGTTTAGCAAGAAAAGATAAAGATGGTTATTATTATCGTGGTAAAATTCTTAATCAGGTAAAAATAAATTATTATTCAAATTTAATAATTATTAATTTTATTTTGACAGTTAAATATTAATCAGTTTATGGTTGAATTTGGACCACGAGTTAGTGGTGCCTTCAGTGAATCAGATTTTCAAGCAACATATTTATTTGATATTATACATTATACTGATGCATTAATGCATAAAATTCAAACAGGAGATTTTGTTCTCGCACCTGATGGACAACAAGGTCGATTTGTACCTGGAGAAGTGCTTGATGGTTTTGAAAAACGTGCTTCATGTGAAAGTAAGTAGATTGTATCTTTTTTTAAAACACGGCCTAAAAGTAGTATCGAAATTAGGATCCTCCATAATCTAATAGAGTAAGACGTTTTTTGTTCCATACATTCCTACTCTACAGCCATTTTCGCACACTTACCCTATCCTAAGATTTCCAGATTTTTGACACATATTTCCAAATTTTCGTAACAATAAAATGTCATTAATAAGAAACTCACTCAATTCTGTTTTCTCTCGTCGCAGATTCTCCCAAACGAATTTTATTAATCAATGGAGAGCAAGTTTTTAAAACTAGTAGCCAGTTTAAAGGATAAAATTCGTACCCTATAAGTAAAACGTATTATTACAACCCATTGGATATCAATTTCCTTGCAAAAACTAGTGTTTCATGTTTGAAAATTCGAAACTTTCTAATCATTTACTTCTAAATCATTATTGTACCATTCATAAAGTTCGTTTTTTATTTTGTATTCTCTTATGAGAGAATGTACCAAGGTGTAGAACGCCATTCAGCTTCATATTATAGCTACAGCTTGGTCTCGATGAAACTAAGACCAACTTAAAAGACATCGGGCTCATGGCCGATTAACAAAGAGTTGCGACCTAAAATTTTTGCCTATAAACATATTTCTTGACCTATACAATATCTAAAAAGCACGATTTACGATAGAAGGACAAAATAATCGAGTCTACTTGGAAATCAGATGCATTGAAAAATGTATGTTTATTTTCGCTGAAACTTTCAGAGCTATTTAATGACTATCAAACCTGTTTATAGGTAAAATTTCAGACTGAAAAGTTTGTTTTGGGTTTCTCACGAATGTCTTACTCTCAATAAAAATTTCATTTCAACATATATATTATTGAAGTCGAACTGCATCCGATATTTGAGTATGTTCCCTCATTAGGTGACAACTCTAAAACGCGACACATGAATTTTTCGTTTCTTCATAACAGGTAAAATTACCTTCATCATGTCAATAGTAAGACTTGATAGTAGTATTTGCTTACCATATCTATATGAAAAGAAAAGACTTTAAAATGAATTATTACCGCTGATAAAAATATCAGAACCGATGCAAAGATATTTCATTTTCTTGTAACGTAGTGCTATTAATAGTCCATTCTGTATATGAGCTACTTCCTCATTGCATTTCTGGAGTCTGAAGTAAAAGAATGGTAAAGAAAATGTTTCTCAAAATAAATAAAATAAAACCAATAATCTTGTGATTAGCAACAAGAGCTACATCATATTTCACATTTTAATTCTGTCGAGATCACACTAATATACTTTTAATTAAATATCTAAATCTATTTTTAGGTGGAGAAATTCGTCTATTAGTTATTCATTTTGCTAATGGAAAAACTGTAAAACTCAAACGATTACAAGAAGCCATTTGGATTCCACCTGCTTTGTAAATAAAAAATTTCAAAACTTATGTTTTACACTTATAATTTATTATTATTTTCTTTCCTTAAGATATGAACGTATTAAATTTGAATTAGCAATTCCACCAAGTGCACGACAATTTCTTCAAACACACTCGGTTGCCTATCCAACAGTACTTTTGCCCGGTTATCCAATGCCTGCACCTATGCCAACAGCTTCGGATAATTGGCCATTTTTTATTTCAAATCAACAACAACAACAGCAAACAATATCACCTGTTGTACTTGCTCCTCAACAAAAAGCACCAGCAACGGTTAATAGTTATGAAGTTAATAATCTTATTATGTCTTCACAACAAAAACCACAAAGTTTAATGACAAGTGATGAACTTAATCGAAAAGTTGATCAACAAATTCAACAACATTGGTTTCTACTTGGCGAACGACAACCTTCTGCACCTACAATTTCATCACCTTCTACTTCATTAACTACAATACAACCAACTCATTCTCATCCTCATCACCATCATCATCCTCCTGATCATCATCATCATCATCATCTTTCACATTCAGCTAATTCTTCACCAAATCCATCCGAAATAAGAAAGAAAAATGTATGTTTTACTGATACATCCCCTATTCGACGATATTCTGTTGATGATCTTGATATGACTCGAGAATCAATTCCATTGAAATCTTGTCTTAAGTCATCAATAACAGATGAAAAACAAACATCAAATAATATCATTCATAATGTTCAAACACAAACAATATCAACAAATTCAAAGCTAAGACCTAATAGTGCTGTTATATCAAATGATGTTTATCGACCATCATCCGAACCTGTTTCAGTTGAACATTGGCATACAAGACAACTTAAATCAGCACCTAGTAGAAATAAAAGCTAAAATTTAGATTTTTTATTAAAATTAAATAAATTTTATATGACTAGTTTCTTCTACATCAAACGTTCAATCATCGACAATGCATGAACCGCGTCGACAAAATTTAAGTCATCTCTATGAAAAAGTATGTAAAGAAAAGGTTTTTTAATTTCTTATAACAAATAATATAAAAACTAGGCGCAACAAGAAGTTAAACAAGAACTTCAACAACAACAAATTCAACGTGAACAATATAAACGACAACAAGCAAAAGAACAATCACAACGTATTCAAAATCGTCAACAACAAAACATAGACAAATCTGAACGAATAATTGATGCTAAACGACAATATCGTAGTCAAGTTATTCATGAAAATCATCAAAGGTTATTTTAATTATTAATTATTGTTTCTTTTTAAAAAAAATCTATTCATTTATAGAACACAAACAGTCGACAATCAAGCTAATGAACGATTACGTTTTAAACAAAATCAATATGCTCAGCGAAGTTCTGATCGTATACAAACACGTCGTTTAAATGAACAGAAAACTGCTGAAATACAAGTATGTGTTTTTAAAGCACTCAACCTTCAGAAAACATTTTTTTTTGCTAAAATCTTTTGATAATTTCCTTCATCAGTCAGTATGATCTTTGTTGAAATTCGATAACTTGCATTTCGGCGATATTTTGAGATGATATCTGCAGTAGATATGTATGATAAATATTCAAAAAAAATGAACCTAAGGAATGATCACCGAAACGAAGCTTACGAACATAAATGATCTCTATTTCGGCGATCTTTCCTTTCAATAATGTTTGTTTCAGCGATGAGATACACAACTCCTTCAACTTCTGTTTGCAAAATATGTTTTCTCTTTGTTTATACTTTTCTGATCACACATCCCAGAATTCTTAAGCAAGCTGTATTGTAGTGAATAGCTTTTTTTTTACTTGTTTGACAGAGTATGTCAAGCTGCAATACCCGTTTTTTTAATTAAGTTTTTTTATTATTACATAGAAAAGTACTTATGTAAATAGATGACAATTTTTCGAGAGTTTTATCGAGATTTTGAGCTTGTCATTCTTTTTCTCCGCTTAAGAAGTAAGAGTACTGCAGTCTGATGATGTTTTTTCAAATAAAAGAAAATTAAATCTATAAAACGAAGGTCCATAGTAGAATTTGTTGAGTTCAGCATTTTGTGGCCATACTCGGTCATGTTCATGTGTAGAACCTACTTGACTAGCTCTAATTCACAGAAAATTTCGGATTACCAAATGAGCTACAACGGGTTACATGAATTTCGGTCCAGGGAATTTTCGGCCCGGACTTTCGGCCCGGTCCGAATTTCCGGTGATTTTTCGGTCCGGGCCTAAATTCATCTCATCAATC